CCAACAAGAAAACAAAACATACGCAACAAAAACAAGACATGAGACAGAAAAACAAGACATGCCCCAAAAAAACAAGACAACGTCAACAACATCACAGCATGGCGCAGTTTTGAACACAAAACAACCGTCTTGAAAAAAATACAGCTGGAGGATGTCAGGGTCTCGAGGGCCTCGCAGGTGATGGCCAAGTCTGGAGCCGTCCGGCGATCCTTGGCACTGGCGTCCCCTTCTTTCTGCATCGTGTCGTAAATAGATTTGGCATCGACGACGTGTACTTGTCCCTCACGGGGGCCTAGCTGACAGTTGGACCTCAACACCGTTGTGAACGGTCCTGATGCTCTCTGGCAGTCCGGGATGTCAACGTTCCGGAAGACGACGTCTCGATACATGATTTGAAGGAACTCCACCTCCGCGACCGCCGCTGACAAGGCCCGGGTCTCGCCCGCCAGCGCGGGCGGGACCTTGCGCCGAAGCTTACTCGACCGCCCCCCAAGGATGGAGGCCCTGACTGACTGATTGGACATGATTGCCTTGTCGGTCCCCAGCACCATCCACGCTCCCTGCGTCGGGTCCTCAGGAAGACCCCGGTCGTCGGCCAGGCTGGCCGCGGCTCCTACACCTCCGGCATCGGAGAACGACACAAACGAGAAATGCTCTGGGTCTAATCTCCACACGGTGAGCCCCCGGGAGGCAGTAGCCCGCAAGTGTCGGACCAGCTTGTTGGCGCACTGAACGTCGTAGATGGTCGGAGCCTTCAGGCGGCTCGCCAAGATGCTGGCGATGCCGGCAGCTTCTGACCTGGTCTCACGGCCGACCCAGTTGAATTTATAGACTCTAGACGAGGGAGCGCAGCGCCTTAAATGCACCATGTTCCAGGGGGGCATCTTTCTGACCCATGCGGCCCTTGGCCACCGACAGAGCCTTCACCTCTTCAAGAATGTATTTCTCCTGGTCGATCAGAATCTTGCGAGGGGTGAGCGTGAGTCGGCGTCCGGCGAAGTCCACAAGTCCGGCCTGGCAGTCACGGTATTTGCCAAACTTAAATCTGGCCTCGAGAGTTGACCGTAACCATGCTCTGGATTCCCGGGAGGAGCTCGCTATCATAAAGTCCTCTAGGAGCATCATGGAGCTCGAGATCTAAATCGACCTCGAGGAGCATCATGTTGAGCACCTCCCCCTTCCTCCCGTACCAGATCCACCAGCATGGCTCCAGGAGGCTACGGACGAAGCCGTGCTCCTGGAGGTAGCTCACCACCGTCCTACGCCAGGCCATGAGTGCATCGTCCAGTCCGCGCGCGTTCACGAGGAGCCGGATCAGGTCGCAAGGTTCGTCGTAGATCTCACCCTGGGCCCACCCGTCGGGTCTGATTGGCAGAAGGCGTTTTTCACGTCCGCAATGTCTCCTAACATACCTAGATTGATGGCAATCTGGAGGAACATCATTATCGAGGATGTCTGAGGCGTGGGCGCGCACACGGCCAAGGCGCCGGAGTCAGGGCCCCGGTGCCCGTGAACACACCAGCGGGATTTCGCGTCCGGATCGGCAAACGCCCCCTCGACGGGCTTCCAACGCCTCACCATCCTGGACGACATGATCCGGTCTGGGAGCTGCTCACGCACTATCCTGGCCTGGCTAGGGGGCGCCACCTCGACGGCCCCGGTGCCCATCATGGCGTCCCACTCCTTCTTGTCCGAAATCTCAAACTTGGCCCTCTCGGCGGGGGTCAGTCGCTTGAGACAGACCTCACCCCCGCGCCCCGTGGCGTAAACGCCTCCGACTTGATCGGCTCTGCTCACGGACGGGCTGGGAACCTAAACCCCCGACGCCGGGCGGAAATATCCAAATGTCGTCGGAAACCCCGGACACGCTCGGCCTCGCAGGTGAGCGGGACCTGGGTCGTCTGGCCACCTCGAGGTCTCGCGCCAGCTCGGGCACGGAGCGGGGGCGCTCGAAGCCGCGCTCGACGGACCCTCGACCTCCTCTTGAATCCGGGCCAGGAGGAGAGGGGGAGGCAGAGGGGAGAGGAGAAGGTCCAGGAAGGCCTGGAAGACCGCCTGGGACCGCGCCACCACCGGAGGGGGAGGAGGAGGCCCCGCTCTCCTCGACCCTCTGGGACCCGTCCTCGGCAACCTCGCTGAGACGAAGCCGCTTGACCTTGGGCGGGCTCGAGACGGCCCTCCGCGCCGCATCGGAGGCCCGGATGCACCCGGGCACGTCCTCCGGCTGCGCAAGCCGGCGAACCCTCGCCGGAAGGAGAAAAGCCTCGAGGCCGGGAGGAGGCGAGGGAGAAGCGGCAACCGAGGGCGCGGGAGAGGGAAGAGCCGAGAGAGGAGGCTCGAGGAGAGGACGGAAGGAGGAGAGGAAGAGACCGCGGGAGAGGTAGTAGTGGGAGGTCCAGACCCCTCTCCGCCCCCCCGATCCCCGGAGGGATCTTAACCTCTGGGCGAAAGAGGCGCCATGGGCGGCTCCGCTCGAAGCTCCTCCGCCTCGGGGATGGATCGAAGACGGGGGGGGGGCCCCACGTCCAGAGACCCCGCCTGGGACCTTCCGCCGGCCCCGCCCAACAAGAGGGGCCCCGGGACCGCCGGGGCGGGGGGCGCCTCGGCTGGAGCTTCTTCCGCCGGTTCCGGCCCGCCACCTGGGGCCCTCGGGCCGGGATCCGTCTGAGCCTGGGCTGGCTCGTCCCAGGCCTCATCGGGGGGTTGGCCCTCCCGGATGACGTCGACAGCGGTCACCCTACGGGCCTGAGCGGCCTGCATCAATGGTTGCCACTTCGGGTCATGGGCCAACTGCAGACCGTACTCCGCCTCCGAGCTGGCGAGACGCAACTGCTCCACACTGCGCTTCCAGAGCCTCGCCCTGGCGGCGACCCACGCGGTCCCGCCTTCGCTCGGGACAACGATCCTGGGGCCGGTCCACCCGTCCCGCCTGCGACCCAACGCATCGGCTCTGGACGAGGTTCTGGTGAAGTGCCTCCGCACAAACACCCACTGGCCCAGAGTGAAGACCCTGGTCCCCGGGACCTTGGCCCGCGAGGCCCGACTTATCTTTTCGCGAGCCGCCGCCTCCATGGCCATGCGACGCGCCGCGGCCCGGACCTCCTGAGCTCGAGAGAACTCGGAGCCCGCGGCGTCCTGCTCCGAGGCAGGCCCAAGGGCGTCTTGCCACCCTGGAAGCCCCTTGTGGTCATGACTCAGGATGTCGTGTGGGAGGCGGGGGTTTTCGCCAAAGACGAGTTGGAGTGGGGGCACCCCCCCGCGATGCCAGTGCCTGTTCTTATGGGCGACCAGCTCGTACAGAAGGTCGTCCAGCTCCTGAGGGCCCCCTGGGAGCGATGACCCGGCATCGATCTCGGCCTTCGCCCGGTCTTTCACCCAGCCCCCATGACGCTCGACGCGGCCGTTCTGCCATGGGGAGTCGGCGTCGCACACGCGTTGGCATATTCCGCACTGCTCCATGCCGCGAGCAAGCCTCGAACCGAACTCAGAGCCTCCGTCCGAGATGACGAAGCGGGGGGCGCCAAAAGGACGGATCCAGGATCTCAGAAATTCCGACCGCACCGTAATGGACTGGGCGTTCGCTATTCTCACAACCACCTGGAGGTTGGACCCGTGGTCCACGATGTTCAGAAAGGGATGGGTGACCCCCAGAAAGTCGAGGTAGAAAAGGTCCACCCCGACAATGTGATTAAAGCGAAACGCACGTGGCATGGCGACCCCCCTGTGAACCCCCACGCGAGCCCGCTCAGCACATTCCGAGCACTGTAACTTCCGTCGCACCCATCGAAGCAGGTGAGACTTCGCCCCACCGGCCCTGAGGACGCGAATGAACTTCCTGTTGTCGGGATGGCCCATATTCACGTGAAGTTTATAGAAGAGTCGATTTCCTTCTTCGAGCGGTTCGGGTTCTTCCTCTTTGTGAGAAGACTTGGCCCCCTCGGCCTTCGGTCCCCGGGTCTCCGGCTCGTCGCCGCTGTCCTCGTCCGACTCACCCTCCGCGCCTTCCGCACCTTCCTCGCGGAAGTTCCCCTCGGCTAACTCGGCCCACGTGGGCCTTGAGTGCTCGGAAGCCCCACTCCACTGCTCGGCCACAGCCCGAGCGACCAGCTGCACGAACCGAGGTGGGTAGCACGCCGCCTTAGTGGTGATGGGGCCACCCTCCAGAAACGCGCGCCTGTGGTCTCCTAGACATAACCTGCCCTCGAGAAGGCGGAGGAGATGAGGGTGGTTGGACATGATCCCCGTAGGTTTCTTGTTCAGACCACGACCATCGACCTGCATGCCGAGACGGCCGGCACATGTCGATCCGAACCCTCTTGACCCCGGGACGCTCCAAAACGAAACGGACAACCTCCGAGCCCCAAGACGACGCGTAGAGGGGGTGCTCAAACGCGAAGTATCGGCCCCGGGACACCTGATACTCGGCAATCTCCATGCAAAAGATCAGATCGCGAACCCCTTCGAGCATCAATCGATCCCAATCGCCGGGAGCCATCCGACCTCGATTCATCTGGTTAATAGCTGAGAAAGCTCGGCACTCAGAGCAGAGCCACACCATCTCGGGTTCCTCGGTCCGGATCCTTCGCCAAAGCTCTCGAACGTGAGATGGACGCGACGCGTCCCGCCCTTGCTTGAGGCCCCAGCTTGGCCGAGAGCCGAGGGGGGCCCCGGCCCTCTGGACGGCTGGGGCTATCCGAGGCGGGGAAAAGACTTCCATGAAAGCGACCTTGGGGCCCCGACGATCCGGGCGCTCTCGGCGAGCGCCCGGCGCACCCGGGGCCCACGCGCGACCTCGCGGTCGTCGTTCAACACATCCCCGCCCAGAAACTCCGCCTCAAAAACAGAAAGGCGCGAGGTCGAGGTAGGGCCGTTCTTCCTTTTAGGTGCGCCCTCGGCGCCAGAAGGCGAGCAGCCGCATGCGGCAAAGCAGGCTGCCAGGCCTAGTGACGACCTCTCGCCACCAGGCCTCGGGAGAGGCTCTGAAGAAAAGAGGGAACCGCTCACACCAGGCTGGGAGCTTCGTCGCTCAGCAGCTCCCAGCTCTCGTCCACCGCCTCCGGGATGGCCGGGAGGTCGAAGCCTACGAGAGGTGACATCGCCGTGGTCGTCTGAGGGGTCGAGGTCGTCGATGCCTCGGAGGACGCCGTCGTGGTCGTGGTCGTGCCTTGGCCGCCCTGGTAGTTCTCGTTGGAGTCGTCCTCTGGAGGAGGAGGTTCCCACATCGGCTCAGGGGGGCCCCCGCTGCTCGACGACGCCAGTGTCGACTGTGCCCCCATGGTGAAGTTGTTCAACACGTTCGTGATGCCGGCCACCGCGTTGCCCACCTGCACCACCATCATGCCCAGCTGCCCTAGGCTCGTCTCGATGTTGTTGATCGAGCCCTGCATCTGGTTGACCTGCGCCTGGAGGGTGTCGACCGACTCCCCCAGGTCCTCCATGGTTCCGAGGGAGCGCTTGATGTGGATCACCGCCTGGTGAATCTGCTGCAGGCCCTCCACCGTCTGCGTCGGGGCCTCCTGCGCCGTGGTGGCTACCTTGATCATCCTGTCCACCACCGCCTGCACGCGTCCGAACTGCCTGAGCCCCTGGGGCAGCGTCTGTAGCTGCCACTGGAGGCCCTGGAGGAGGCTCGAGAGACTGTTCACGTTGGTCAGAGCTGCCCCGCCGGCGCGGAAATCTGGGTCGTTCTGGAGGATGTCGACAGCTCGAGCCGCCGACGCCGCTGCTGCCCGAGCCGCGTCCGCCGCGGTCGGTGGCTGAGGCTGTCCCGCGCTCTGCCCGTGCCCCCTCGGGACCCACGTGAGGCGCCCCTCGCAGTCGAGGCACTTGCTGCCGCTCCCGTGCTGGTTGCCGAAGTACTTCACCCGGCCGTGAGGACAGTGCGGCCAGGGCTTGGGGGGTGGCTTGGTTGCGGCTGGCCCCGTCAGCGGTGGGAGTGGGGGCCCCGTCGCTGCGGCCGCGGGCGGCCACCCCGCTGCCGCGGCCGCCGCGTTCCACAGCATCGGCTCGGCTGTAGGCGGTGGAAGCCCCGCTGCCATGGGCATCGGCTCGTTCCACTGACCCTGAGGGCCAAGTGGCCCCTGAGGAGGTGGACCCGGTGGCAGTGGAGGCGCCGCCCCGGGGTTCGCTCCCACGCTCGTCGCCTGAGCCGCTGCCGCCGCTGTCCCGCTCGGAGCTCCGAGCTGCTGTCCTGGGGCCACGGCGCCGCCGCCACTGGAGGGCGGCAGAGCGTCGTGAGGCGGGGGATCCGGCAGCTGAGTCCGGTCGCTGTCCGACTCTGATCCCTGGCCCCTGCGATGGGCTGCCAGGAACTCGTCCGTCATCTTCTTCGCCCCTGGCTCCTTCTTTTTTCCGGCCTCCACCGTGAAGCCGATCGTCGCCAGTAGCAGCGCTGCGCGGATTACCGCTCGCGGCATCATCGCCGCCTGAGTGCAGCGCCCGAGGTTGATTGAGAAAGCTCGTGAAGCTGAAGCTGGAGCTTGAGCCCAGATGTTCTACGGAGGACGGGTTGGGACGGGACTCGAGAGCTCCGGGAGCCGTCTTGATGGCCCTGCACCCCTTGACCCCAGCTTTCTTGATCGATCCTACCGCGAATTTCGGCCCGGGGCGGGCCCGCTGAGCTCGTGGCTGGAGGGCCGCCCTTCCCAAGGCAGTGGCCCCGATGAGCAACTGGCACAGCCCCAGACTCCCAATCGTGATCAGCAACCTATTCAGGTCCTTGACGCACCCCAGGACCCCCTCGATCTGGTCGCGGTAGGCCCTTCTGCGCTGACGAGCTCTTCCCCCGACGCGTCTCCTGGCCCCGAAGATGATGATGATGAGAATGATGATGTACTGCATCAGTGCGCCCTCGCTGGACATCTTCGGCACTGGGCGTCCCGCCAGCGCAAAGGCGCCGGGAGAGAGAAAAGGATACTCCTGGATGGCTGAGTCGGGGGCCTCAGGCGGCCCGGGCAGGGGCCGGGCGATGTCCAACATCCTGTGGACCTCGGGCTCTGAAGTGTTCAGCGCCATCTTGTTCTGCGGGAGGTCGATCACGCTGCCGAGGAACTCCAGCAAGTTCACGCTCAGGATGTGGGGGGCCGCGTCCTCCAGGACCGTCGCCTCGACGATGCCGAACGCCCCGCCGAGGCACATCGGGAAGAGGTTCGACGCGATCACCCTCGCGGCCCCTCCTACCCCGCGGGCCGCCCTCGGCCTCCTGTGCTGGAGCGGGATCAGCGCGTAGCACGTGTCCTGATCCGCGAGCGCCTGCGCCTCGCGGTCGAGGGCCTCGCGCCCACGAGGTCGCTCCCCGCCCCGGGGTCGACCGGGCCCTGCGTCGCCCTCGCCGCCAAGTAGACGCCCTCGGAGGTGAGCTCGGCCTCCGCCTCGCGCCAGCTCGGGAAGCTGGCCGCCGCTGGGCCCGTGATGTAGCCGTCGAACATGTAGGCCGACAGCTCCCGCCTGGCGGCCGTGTTCCTCTCCTTCTGCTTGTCTGCGCCGCTGCCCCTGCTGGGGCACTCGCGCCCCCAGTGGCCCTTCTGGTGGCATAGCTTGCACTTCGTCACTTTCATGAGCTGCTCCAGCGAGAGTCTCGACCGGCCGCCTCCGCGCCCTCGTCCGCGGCCTCGACCTCCGCTGCGGCCGCCACCGCGTCCGCCCTGCCGAGGAGCCCGAGGTGGAAGTGGAGCTCAATCACCTCCAGGCTTGCCTCGGAAGAACTCCCGAGTCTGTCGAGCAGCTCGTTTCATGTCTTTGTTCTGCTTCCAAGATCGATCGTTGGCCATCGCCGCCAAGGTGTCGTCCAGCTCGTCCTCGTACAGGTCCATGTCCTCGATCTCGGCCAGCACCGCGTCGACGTCGAAGTCTCCCTCGACTTCGAAGTAGTCGTAACCGTCATCCTCGTCCTCTGACTCCAGGTTGGCTTCACCACCACCGTCGACCGGGCCAGAGGGGTGGAGGAAAGAGGAGGGAGGCTGCTCTACCCTAGGGCCTAGCTCAGGGTACGCGTCAGGGCCGGCTCCCTCCATCATGGCCCCAGCTCCGGCTCTGCCTGGCAGAAGGCGCTCTGAGCCGGACGAGTCCATCTGGCGGAGGGCCCACGTGATGTCCGCGTAGTCCATCTTGCCCTGGGTCAGCGTTCTCAGGTTCTGTGCGCCCTGGGCGGAGAGCCCCGCTCCCTCTTCTAGGAAGAGGCCCTTCAACTTCGGGGACATCCACAGGTCGTGTCCCTCTGCTTCTTGAAGCTGAGCCTCGCGCCTGGACGCGTACTGCGTCAAGGACTCCTTGCTCTCGCGAGCCGCATGGAACAGGGCCTTGCGCCCGGCTCGACGGAGCTTGCCCCCTTCACGCTCTCCAATCAGTAGGTCCATCCTGGCTAACAAAATGTCCAGCCACGAGGACGAAACCAGCTCACGATCGGAGATATCCTCGAACTTTGCTTGCATCGCCCAATCGAACAGCTTCAGAAATCGTTCTGCTCGGCGCCACTGCGCCACATCCGTGTTCTCGTTCCACCGTCGCACTGCACGTTTCCACTGGCGGTAGTGTCCAGCCTGGCCACGCCGGGGGGTCGGTGAAGTCGCCCCTCGTGCTGGGCTGGGTCCAGCTGCTCTGCCACCAGCTGCTGCTCCAGTCCTGGCCAGAGCCCCAGCCGCCGGCCCACTCGGAGCGTCCGGCGGCCCAGCTGCTCTTGCACCAGTCGCCGTCCTTGTGGCCGTCGGCCTCGCCAGTCGCCGCCGCCTCGGCGGCCGCCGTCCCTGGGTTCCCTCGCGCCTGGCCGTTCCCGCCCCACGGGTCGCCCTGCGCGGAGTGCCAAGGGTCCTCGCCAGCTCCGTCCGCGGCCGTCGCCGCTCGTCGAGCGTGGTCGTTCCAGCCGCTCCAGCTATGCTCTGCCTGGTGGTCGTGCCGGCCCTCACCGCTGACATAGTCTGATCTACTATGTCCTGGGCGAGGGCCTTCCACTGCTCCTGCGTCATGGCGATGGTGGTGGCACCGGGCGCCGCGCCGCTGGCGCTCCCACCGCCTGGTACCTCCATCGCCTTCGTCTTCTCCTGCTCGCCCATTGGCGTCCCCTCTTGGGACGACATGGCCGTGGATCCCCTCACGCACCCAGCGCTCAGAGCGCAGCCGGGGCGAGGGCGCGCAAGCGCCGAGCCAGCTCACCGACGAGGCTGCTGCCCGGCACCCATGGCCTCTCGCCCGGACCGCGCCCCGCCACCAACTGTGGCAGCAGGAGGATTGGGCAACGTTTTCCCTTGAGCCATAACAATGGGCGTTGCGAGGCATGTGATCAATAGCGAGGGCGTTGCAGTGAAAGAGGAATCTAGCCTGATTTACCTCGGCACCCAATTGTCTGCAGACGGTCGTAGTGGGGTGGAGCTCAGCCGACGTTTAGGCGCCGCCAGACAGGATTTCAACGTGTTGGGTGCAGTTTGGTCGCATTCCACGTTAAGCCGCACACAGACAGTGCGCATTTTCAACGCGTGCGTCGTGGCCAAACTGACCTATGCATTGTTTGCTGCGTGTCTGAACCAAGCAGAACGCAGGAGAATAGATGGATTTCAAGCCCAATGCCTTCGAAAGATTTATCGCGTCCCGCATTCTTACATTAGTAGGATCTCAAACAGCACCGTGCTAAGCATGGCTGGACAGCCGCCTCTGAGCGAGCAAATCTGTAAACAACAAATGATTTTCATGGGCAAGCTTGCTAGACGCCCTGGGACGGACCCCGTGCGTTTGTCTGTCTTTGAGCCTCATAGCTTTGACTTGCGAGCGCCATCTGGCCCTAGGAAGAGAGGCCGGCCCCGACAGAGCTGGGGGAACATGGTGATGAACAATTGTTTACGAATGGCCGGCACGCCCGCTCGCCTGGCTGCGTACTTCCGCCCGGAGGGCGGTGCAGCGCGAGCGTGGGCGTCGGCAGTGCAATCGTGTCGCATTTGATGCATTTTCCACCTCTGCTAGCGCACCGTCTGGTGCAAGGCTTCTGACTTGACTTGACATAGCAATGGGCGAATCATAGATACACACCTAACTCGCTACACAACTGCTGAACCTGGTCTGACAAATGTGCTAACCCATCACAGGGGGACGCATGCGGGCACCCCCACTGGGGCCTTCGGTGGAGCTCCCTATGGGGCCACAAAACGCTGTGCTGGGCGTGGGGGACGCATGCGGGCACCCCCACTGGGGCCTTCGGTGGAGCTCCCTATGGGGCCACGAAACGAATCAGCCATGGCGACGCCGATGATGACGATGATGGTGATGGTGATGGTGATGGTGATGGTGATGGTGATAGTGATGATGATGATGATGATGATGATGATGATGATGATGATGATGATGATGATGATGATGGTGGGGAGGGTGATGGTGCTGGTGCTGGTGATGATGATGATAATGCTGCTGATGAGGAGGAGGAGGAGGAGGAGGAGGAGGAGGAGGGGGTGAGCTGAGACATGCGGAGAGCAAAGGCAAGGATGGGGGAGGAGGGAGGAGGAGGAGAGGAGGAGGAAGGAGGAAGAAGGTGGGACGCGGGGCGCTGTCTCTTGAAAACGAGGACCCAACACGACAGGATGGTTGGGAAAAATTCTCATCCATTCCATGCGCGCTGACTGTCGAGGATGTGGCGGGAAAACAAAAGGCGCCGGATGGAGAGAAGGGATGGAATATAATGAGGAGAAGGTGGACGAACTGAAGGAGGTAGGATGAGCAGGACGTTCGGGGAGGACGAGGGAGAAATGGACATTACATCTAACATCGTATGCCCTTGTCCGCCTCCTCCTCCTCATCCAATTTCGCCGTCTCTGACTTACTCTCCCGATCCGTCTCTCTTACCTCCCTCTTCCTTCTTTCCCCTCCCCTCCCCATCTTTTCTTCTACTCGTCTCCTTCTCCATTTCTCTCACACCCCTCTCCCTCTCCGTCTCCCTCCCCCTCCCCGCCTGCCCCAACGAGCGACTTGAACATGAGACACGCGATTGCCGCCAAAGCCGGAGGACTGCGGAGGAGGGGGAGGACACCTGCCCAGCCTGCACCGCGGACGAAGTAATGGGGGTAGACGAGCATAGCTGGAGATCGAAATGGCCAACCCACTCGCAGGGAAGACGCGGCGAGCTCATGTAATGCGAACAGAACGCGGTACAACCAACATCGCCGAGCGGAGGACAAGGAGGGCGACGACGAGAAGGATCGACACGTGGAGACAGCACCTGCGAGGAGGGCGCCCACCAGCAACCGATGCTCAAATGGGATCACGGCCACTGTTTGGCAAGCGACGCCCGTCACAGTCAAACAACATGTGCAACGAAACCGACAACGACTCCTGTCCCCAATGAACGGGAGCCGCTGTCGTTCGCAGTCCCCGCTCCCTCCGTCCCCATTGCGAACCCCTCGAAACCAGGAGGAAAAAGACCCCTGCCCGGCCTGCAAGGCCGGGTTGCCCACGGGCTGCTCTGGCGCCGGACCGTCCATGGGCTTGGCCGAAAGCACGGTGCCAGCGCGTGAGAGGCCTGGAGGAATCGCACCGAACAGCCGCACAGCAGCAGCAGTACGGGGAAGAAGGGGTGGCGGAAGAGGAGGAGAACCAAAGTAAAACCTACGCTGCATCGACGATACTGTAATAAAACGTCCCTCCGAATTCCATCTTCATAGTTCTCTGCAAGGACCTGTCTTCACTGCGGGAAGTGTCCCGTTGGAAGACCACCGTCTGAGAATCCCCAATCGCACCCAAACGCCATTCCTGGGTTTCCAAAGCTGCAAATCCATGATGTTGTTGCGTCCTGTCGGTCCTGAATCGCGCCGCGGAACAATTCTTGGGCTTTCAAGTCCGCAAAACAATAAGACTGCTGTGCCATGAAAATCCTACATGTTGCTGGAACGTGGTGAAAATTCTACAATGGAGACCTTTGAAACGACTGCGCGCACAACTAAGGCGAGAGACACATTTTGAAAACCACCCGCCCTCCATCCATGAAGCCTTTGCGAACTTTCAATACGAACGCGCGCGGCGCTAAAACGTTAATCGCATTTTGAAAACAATCCGGCCTCCATCCGAGAGACTCTTGCAAACTTTGAAACCGCTGTGCACGGCGCTTATGCGAGAACCATTTTGTCAAAACCGCCCGCCATCAATTCTTGAAAACCTTGCACACTTTGATTACGAATGTGTGCGGCGCTAAAGCAAAAACCAAAGTTTGAAAAGCACTCGCCCTCCACCCGTGAACCTCCTGCAATATGTCTAGACTTGTGTTTGTGTGCTTCAGCGGCGCAAAAAGGAAAATCGTTTAGACAGACGTGTTCTTCGGTAAATGCAATTCTCTCGTGGCAGTTGTCAGTCCCATACGGTGCGTCCTCGAGGGCGGGGAGGAGTCAGTGCTCCTAGCGTGTCTGCGTCGTTCCAAAATTGCCGCGTCGGCGTGCGATCGCATGCGACTGCGCGCGCCCGCCATTTCTATTAGGGGGCACCCTCTTGGTTCGGATACCGCTGCCCTTCGCAGCGGATTGAGCAGCCTCGCGCGACCCAGTCTGGTAGGTACGGCGCACGTCCACGAACGTGTCGCCGCCACCTACGCAGTGCGCTTCCAAACGCGCCCGCTGCGCTTGGCGAACAAAAAGAGGGGAGGGGCTTGCGATGTGCAGGAGGAGGGAGGGCCAGGGGGAGGGGGAGGATGGGAAATGGCCTGTGTGCTTGAACGGATCCCGCATGGCCAAGCGTAGCGACTGCTCTTGGGCGCGGTTGCTCTGCCAGACGGCTCGGCTGCGTGTCTGGCGCCGCACGGGACCCTGAAATTGCACAGCCATGTCTTCGGGGAGATCAACCTTCAAAAACATGTATGTTGCGTTTTCGCGTGTCCCGTTGGAGTTTCGACCCACATGAGACTTTCTCGCTTTCGCGCAGCATGAACTTGTCTTAATGGGAAAACCTTTCTAGTGGAACATGTTGTGATAGTAGTGTACTCTCGTGCGTAATAAACTTTTGGCAGCCCGATTTCGGGGAAACCTGTTCCCCCCCAGAACGTATGAGCCCACGGCACCTCTGGACAACGAGGGACAACGTGCGATCGGCGAAAGGACTGCCCCACCGACGCGTGGAACAGCGGCGTTCCAGGGGGGGGGGCAACCAAGATCAGCATGCTATTCGAAAGGCCGCTCGGGGAGGCACCCGTTCACGGGCGGTGAGCAGAGGGATCCCAGAAGCGTCGCTCCGTATCCTCAGTTTCTCTTCACCATCATCATTCTACTCCTCTTCCTCACCCCCCTCGCCTTCTCTAATCGTTTCCCGACGTGTCGGATTGCCTCCCTCTTCCTCATCTTCCCCCGCGACTCGGTTGCCATTTTGGCTCCTCTTCGCCGAATCGGCAACATTTGTTTCCTTCGGGGTCGCCGCGACCACTCCCCGAGAAATCTCGCGCCAACGTCTGGGCTATTCTCGCGAGCAGGCCTCCGGGCAGCAGCGGCGCGCAAGCCAGAGATATGTCTTATGTGTTGTTACTGATTTTTCTTCGACTAATTTGAAGACGGCCCGCCCTCCATCCGAGAAGCTGCTGCAGAACTAGAGTTTCAGGATCATGACAAGTGAAGGAATCTCAACCGATACGCTCCACCCGCCCTACCGACACGTCTCGGTGCGCGACAGGGAGGAATTCTTTTCAAGCGGAAGGGAAGGAGGAGGCGGCGGAGGAGGATAATGTCGATGTCACAGTACACGGCTTTCCTGAAAAAACTGAGACAGCCTAGCCGTAAGCAGTTAGCAGTGGGACTGATCTGAACCATGTTATACAAACAAACTCTGATAGCACGATGCTGGAATGGGTCCTAAGAGGGTGCTGAGAAGTCCATACATGGTCCTGGGAGGGTCCTAAGTGGGTCCTGATAGGCTTCACAGAGGATCTTGAGCACCTTCTGTACAAAGGTTGATTCGATTCACTTTGAGTAACGAGGCTCCCACTCGAGATTTCCTTTAAACCACTAGGGACGACACTCCAGCTCGAGACGTCCTCACAACTCACTCACAAACGCACGAAAGACATCCTGTTCAAGAAAAGGAAAAATGGCGGCAAATACTGGAGAAGCGTCGAATGAAGCTGCAGGGACCCCGTGGGAGAGATTCCAGGTTTTTCTTTTACCTCTGCTAGGATCCTCAAGCGAAGCGCTACTGGGTGTTATCTACCAACAATGCCTTCGTGACCGCCCCACACCTCAGAAACATCGGACGGCTTCCATCCAAACAATTCAAACCTACTGACCAACAATCTGTTCTCCTTCTCAAACCAAGCTAGATCCAGCACTGATAGAATCCAACTGGGGCTGGGTCCAGGTCTAGTGGAATCATACAAAAGCTCGAACCAAGTCAAATCAACTCCTGGTACTCGGGCTGGATCCAACTCAGATCTAACCCTACCAGGGCCAAGTTCGGTTTGAAAAAACCGTACTGCGAGGTGGATGCAGCTCTAGTCGGATCTTAAGAGTGCTGGATCCATCTCAAATGAGATCCTACTAAGATATGAATGGACACAGTCCACTAAAATCGTATCAGGGCGTGGCCAGGCCTTCGCACAACCATATTAAGGACAGAAAAAAGTTGTCAATAAAGAACGAATCTTACACAAGCTAGATCCAGCTCTAATATGATACTGGAGAAAAGCCCAAATCAGGGCTATAGGGCTATAGGGGGCTATAGGGCTATTGAGCTATAGGGCTGTAGGGCTAGTGGGATATAGGGCTATAGGGCACCCCCGGGCACGCCAGGACACTCGGGCACCTGGGCACCCGGCCCCCCGGGCCCCCCCGGGCACCCGGGCGTGCAGCGAAAATCGGCGGCCAACCTCACCACCGGGCAGCCCCGGGCACCAGGGCGTGCAGCGAGAATCGGCGGCCACGCTAACCTAACAATATGATTCCGCTAGGACCCCTACAGAGGCAAGCTCTGATTGGGGAAAAATCCTGCTCGGGCTGGATCCAGGTGTCATGATATCCCCCCTCCACCCCTCCGTCTCCCGGTCTAAACCCGGGGAGGGGGTTCTCAACAATTACGCAATGTGAATACTACTGTCCTCTCTCCCTTGGTGGCGTCCAGGGGATGTCCGGCCCCCTGTCCGCGCACTGGATTTTTACACACAGGATTCCCGGGAGTTGGGTATTCGCTTGTTTTTGGTTTTTGTCGAAATGCTGCTCTCGCTGAGGCGCTGGCCTCATCTTCGGGCTACCACTCGTTCCAAATCGTGCTCCCGCTGCAACGCTGGCCTCATTTTCGCGATTTCGCTCGTTCCGAATCGCGCTCCCGCTGCAGCGGTGGCGTCATTATTGCGAGCGCCATGCCACAGCCTGGTTTTCGGTCCTCCCAAACATGCCCCAAAATCTAGAAAATACCCCCCGGTAAGAACTACCGAACATGATTACACATTCGGTGTCGATTCGTTGTTCTTTGGGCCGCGCCCCCCCCCTGTTGGGGCGTCGCCACGCCACACTATGCCAGGCTGCGCGTCCTCATGTCCGCGCTTCCGCGCTGAGATTTTGTTCAAAATGCTGCTCTCGCTGAAGCGCTGGCCTCATTTCCGCGATTCCGCTCGTTCCGAATCTTGCTCCCACTGCAGCGTTGGCTTCATTGTTTCGAGCGCCATGCCACGGCATGCTTTTCTGTCCTTCCAAACAGGCCCAGAAATCTAGAAAATGCCCCACTGGTAACAGCCATCATAAATGATTACACATTCGGTGTCGATTCGTTGATTATCTGGGCCGCAGAAGCCGCCCCACTTTAGGGCGTCGCCAAGCCATGCTATGTCAAGCGACGCGTCCTCATTTTCCGCGCTTGTTGCTTTTTCAAAATGCTGCTCTCGCTGCAGCGCTGGCCTCATTTCCGCAATTCCGCTCGTTCCGAATCTTGCTCCCGACTGCAGCGCTGGCTTCATCTCCGCGCTTCCGCTCGTTCCGAATCGCGCTCCCGCTGCAGCGGTGGCGTCATTATTTCGAGCGCAATGCCCTGGCATGGTTTCTGGTCCTTACAAGTAGGCCCCCAAATCTAGAAAATGGCCTCCCGAACAAACTACGGAAGTGATTACACATTCGGTGCCAGTTCGTTGACTTTTTGGGACGCAGACCCCCCCCCCACCTTGGGGCGTCGCCACGCCATGCTATGTCATGCTACGCGTGGATATTCGACATCAATGCTATGCCATGTATAGCTCTGCCATGCTACGACATCCGATTGTGCGAATAGAAAAGAGATCTACGCCATGATAAGGGTTGGGAGGAAGGGGTAGGACGACAGATATGACACGAGTGCACCTTGCTTGACCCTTCCCCCTCCCCTCTTCCCCTCCTGTTCGGAGTGGGAGGCTGTTTTGACCCCCCCTTCCCGGTCCGAACTGGGAGGGGGGATCTGTTTTCCTGGAGGAGAGGAGATGGGGAGCGGGCGATCACTGAATCACATTACGGCGTGACTGGCACAATAGCGTGAAGCAGAAGACCGCCAGGCAAACTTGGATCGCTACACAAGCCGACCTGCCATAGGCAATCTCATGCGAGAATCTATGGCCTGCGAAAAAAGGAATGACGATATGAGTGTGAAAGGCCAGAATGATACCGAAACTACGCGCGCCAGCATGACGGCCTCCCCCAATGCAAGAATAAGTAGTCCCCGAGCAATGACCAACGAGGACAACAACGGTACCGTAATCCGCTTGCAACAAGATGGTGTGAGAAGTGAGGCCCTGACCACAATGGACTGCGAACGCCAGATGTGTGCGCAACAGCATGCCAAACACTGCAATAATCACAACGCCTTGCGAGCGAGGAGGAAGAGGAACACGAGGACAACGAGAAGGAGGAAGAGGAGGAATAGGACGAGAAGAAGCAGGCACACAAGGAGACGAGGAGGACGAGGACAATGCGAGGGACACGGGGACGACCACGAGGACCACGATGAGGACGACGATGACTAGTGTGTCAATAGCGAAAACAGCGACCAGAACCAGGACGAGGAACACGAGTACGACGACGAGGCCGAAAAGACCGACGAGGACGAGAATGAGGAGTACGATTAGGACGCCGACAAGAAAACGCAGGACGAGCATGACGAACAGGGGGGAGGGAGGGAATGATGAGGAGGAGGATGGGGACGTCGTCGAAGGCTGCAGCGGCGCCATCGTTGAAGCTGGTGCATTCCCGACCCCTCCACATGGGAGGGTGCACGAGGGGGCTACAATTGCGAGGGGCTACAATTGGCAACTGTTGCAGCCGAATCTGTGTAGACGGACTGAGCATTGAAGCCCCGGCAAGCCTGCACCATGCCCGGCTGCAGCATGACCGACCACGCTGGCCAAGGAAATGGCGATGGGAGTCGGCGACAAGGCTCGATTCGGCTTCCTATTAGATGCTCTTTTAGTGGTGGCATTAAACTAAGCGGAGCATCGCCCGAACGGCATGGAAGGAGAGTCTGGGCTTAGTCGGGGTCGATTATGGCAAAACCGACCGCCCTGGAATTTCCGAAACATTATCCTGCGAATTTCCGCGAATCTCCAACCTCCAAACCATCGTCCGGCAAATCTCCAAAAATCTGAGCACCTTAAATCTTCCAGCGAATCGCCTTACACATGTTATAGCGAATCTCCCAAACATCTCCGCCGGAGAAAACCCCAACGAGATTTCACCCGAAAATGTTCCCCTGTTGTTCCTTAAACATGCATTCCATGCCCTTGAGTTTTCTCCACGCCAGAGATGTTCCATTGGTTTTCTGTCGTTTTTTTTATCTTACCTAAAGGGCCAGGGACGCCTCTGCCATATTGACCCCCCCATCAAGTCTAGACACAACCCAGCATTGAAACGACCTGCATGGGATCCGCGTGAGATATCTTCGCTAAGGAAACATATCGCAGCGTGTGTACACGCCCGCGTGTCCGACAATAGCTGCTTGCGGCGTTCCTGACCCAGTATATCCTCAATCTCAAATCATACGACGCGTCCACAACGACCAACCTGTGCTGATGAGGAATGATTTCGTCAACAAAATACACTAACATTGACTTGGTCGACTCAGACGGCACAGCCCATTCGATCATGTAATGCAAATATCAGAACACATGTCCGTCGTGCGCGCGTCTCTTGCCAGAGACGGGAGAACACATTCTAGGGTACATGAATTCTGTAGTCGAACGCCCACTCGAAATATAAGGACGAGGAGGGATGACGGGAAGGGAAGACGAGTACCAACTAACGAGGAAGAGAAGGAAGAGGAGCAGGGTTCCGCTTGTTGACACTGTGCTTCTGCTGTGGGAGGGAGAGGCAAGGCAAGACAGGACCCCCGCGTGACAGACTACAGCTAGAGCGCACATCAGAGGACATTCTAAATCACACAATACTCCTCCGAGGGGTAATGGGGAGTGAACAAGTGGGATGAATCTCTCCTCAGAGTGGGAGATATCTGCCACCGTGGGCTGGGCACCTGTAAAGTGGCGTCCACGGTGGCACGCGTCATCATCATTTTCAATGCAACATCTCGCAGATCACTGATTTGCAAATCTGGCCATGTTTATAATTCATGCCATGCCGACGCACAAGCCTGTGCCGAAACGGCGCCTTCCTTCAATTTCTTCACTCCGCCAATCCACAACTGAGAGCAACAACCGCTTCCCAAGCGTGCCATATCCCCAACCGTGCGCATGCAAGTAAGCGCGGAACCAAACAAACAAGAACAGGCAAACACTCAAGGCAACCGTAAAGACGGAGCACACGCGATGCAGAACTTGCAATCAAACAAACATTCGTGACATAAGCGGACCATCCAATCACAACCGCAACCAGAAAAGAACAGGCTTGTCACGGAAACCACGGCCCTGGGATAGCCATGGGATGGCCCTGGACTGCATGGCCACAAGATGGCCCCAGCTAAATTGCACGTCCCCAGGACGGCCCCAAACAAGAGCCCCACATACTGCCCCAGGGAAGGGGCAAACAAAAAGCATGGCCCTGGCCCCAAACAACAAACATTTTCGCTGCCTAGGGGCATCCTACAGCCATGCTTTTGGCCCCGTGCGGGGCCATTCCGCGGGGCCATGCCTTTCGCACCATTCGGAACCGTCACAAGGTCATGCGTTTCAGCCACCCCGGGGCCAAGCTTGTCACTGCATGGGATTATCGCAGCGGCCAGGGCCAGGTTTTCCTCCAAGGCCATCGTTGGCAATGAGACTCGCAATTTCTGAAGCCAATCCAACCCTGGAAAACGGCGTTCAAATTTGCCGGCCAAACGGAACAAGGGTGTGCTACTGGTCAATAATACTTGTAATTTGTGCGCGCGGGGCCGCCCCTGGGGGTCCCCGGACGAAAATAAACCCCAGCAAAGTCCCGGGCAGGTCCCGGGCAGGTCCCAGCGAGGTCCCGGCCCAGCAGGCTCCCAAGAGAGCTCCAGGAGCGCTTGAAGTGGCCTTCAAGAGGGCTCAACATGGTCCGCGACGGTCCAAGAGCGATCCAAGACGCCAAAGATGGCCTCCAGACGGCCCAAATCGCCTTCAAGACGCCCCAAGAGGCCTCCAAGAGACCTCCCAAGAGGGCACACAGATGCAGACATTAGTGACTTCCCTTTTAGTTTCTGAAGGTTTTTTGGCGTTCTCGCCTTTTCGGCTTACCGGCGCTCCAAACGGCCCAAGAGGCTTCCAGGATCGCCCCAACACGGCCCAAGAGGCCTCCAAGAGCGCCCAACTAGCTACAGAAGGCCCCAAGGCAGCCCCACAGGCCTCCAAGATTGCCGAAGAGGCTCCTGAGACGGCTCCAAGAGCGCGCCCAGACGCGGGACCCGAACGGACATTTCAAGCTCTCGGCCCAAAGAGGAGCCCAGGAAGCCCTCAGAGGCCCCCAAAAGCCTCCCAAGAGGCCATATAAGAGGCCCCCAGCAGCCCTCAAAAAGGCCCCTAAGACTCCCGACAGGCCCCCAGGAAGCCCCAAGAGGCTCCCAAAAAGCCCCCACGAGGCCCCCCAGAGGCCTCAAAACTGCTCCTCAGAGGCCGACAAAAACCCCAAGAAGCATCCATGAGGACTTCGGCCCACAACCCATGTATGTCTAGAAGCTCTGCTGGAGCTCTCGTGAGCCATATTAGCGCCCTCTGGGGCAGTCTATCGGCTCTCTTCGACAAGGTGCGAACCACATCTCCAAAAACCTCCTCGAAGACCGTCCTGTCTGCCCTACCGGTCCCCCTGGGCACGGGCACGCCGACACGCAGCCAGAGTGATGCGAAATGGGCCAGCGGAATGAGCGAAGCGATTCAATAAATGAGCTCCGAGGCGCGACTCACGAGTTCTCGTTGCAGCGGGGACACGAACTTTTTGGCGACAATGCGACCAACAACTGATCACTGGCGTGGATAATCCGTTTTCGAGCGGGTACCCGTGTCTAGCGCGTCTAGACGATGAAGGCACAATTCGCGTATACGTGTTGCATAATCGTGTATGCACGCAGTGTCTACAATATGTCAATGTGGTGGGTAAGTTCCCCACAAACATTGAATATCTGCACCGTACGCCTACCCATCGCAACAACACAGTCAAAACAACGAGATCGGCCGACATACATGAGCATTCAGTCGCAAGTGTCTAGCGATGTGTCAAAACTTTGCGGGCGCAATACTACTAACTGTCGGGTCTTGTGTTTATGTCGGCAACGCTCCACATCTTTGCACCCTCTGATTGCCTCTGCTGCCCGCGGGTTGTTTATACGCCAGTGCCCTGCCACTAGATGGAGCTCCACTGAAGGCCCCAGTGGAGGTGTCTGCATGCTGCGACACCACACGGATTGGCACACTGCTCGCACGCTTCGTGGCCTCATAGGAATCTTCACCGAGGGCCCCGCTGACAGGGTCCGCGTAGCGCCAGCCCGAGATGTTAGCACACTCCTCGTTTCGTGTGTCCGTGGGACGCCCCACCAAGGGCCCGAATGACAGGGTCCGCATGGCGCCAGCCCACCTATCCACGCATACCCCTGACACGCGCCGCTGCCCCAAAAAGGACCGAAGGCCCCAGTCGCAGGGTCCGATGGCGTCACATGGTCCATTTCGACATACCCCTCAGCAACCCCGAGAAACTCCTCCGAGGACCTCAGCGGCAAGGCCAGCATGGCGCCACCCCGCAAATTCTGGCACACACTTTCTACCATCGCACAGGGGCCCAGCGGCAGCAAATTCGTGGGTCCATGGAGAGATCCATCGAGGGCCCCGGTGGCAGGGTCCGCGTGGCATCACACCGCCCATTTCTGCACATCCAGGCCACGCTTCGTGGCCCCAGAAGGGAGTTCCATTGCGGGTGACGGTGCCAGCACGCTGCCGCGCAGAAAGAGAGCTCCAACGAAGGCCCCCGTAGCGGTGTGCGCATGCTGCCGCGCTCATATCAGCATACCTCTCACACGTCTCGTGGCCCCATGAGGAGCTCCACTCCAGGCCCTGGTGGCGGTGGCCCCATGCTACCCCCCACTTCGGGTACACCCCTCACACGTTAAGTGGCCCCATAGGGTGCTGCACCGACGGCCCCCGTGGAGATGTTCGCATGCAGCGGCGCCCATGTCGGCACACCCTTTACAACACGTTTCGCGACCTCATTGTGAGCTCTACTGAAGGCCCCAGTGGGCGCGACCGCGTGGCGACATCTCGCCCATCTTGGCGCATCCCTCACATTTTTCGTGGCCCAGAAGGCAACTCCACCGAAGGCCCCAATTGCAAGGTTCGCATAATGTGACGGTGTTCGCATGCTGTCGCGCCTGTTTCGGCAAACCTCCCGTTTCTCCTTTCAGCCCCCACTGTTATTATTCGTCCTCGTCCTTCTCATCCACGTCCGCATCGTCGTCCCCCTTCTTTTGTGTATCATTTACCTTGCGACGCTCGCAGCTACATGTGGCCAGGACGATCGTTAACTCATTGTTAGATGCGGTCAATGCTGAAACATGAGCTGAGTCATGTTCAAACAAAAGCCGTGTGACACACTCTCTGAATGGAGCCAGCGCGTCGAAGCATGGTATCGATGCTGTTCAGTGGTTGCATTCCCTGGCGCAAATAAACATTACAGGGCATCGACGGGGGAAAGGGTGGGGGGACATTGGGGGAAATGCAATCTCCGAGAAGACACAGAGCATCGAACAAAACAATGTAGAGAAAATAGCGTTGACCACGCCAAATCATCCAAAGGGGTTTAGATCAGGCTCGCCTGAAGCGAGGTGCAACTCTTTTGGACTTTCAAAGACTGCCACTACTGGGCCGTCGGCTGCATGTGCCTGTTTATCGAAGCATAGTTCTGATGGTATGACATGCGCTCCATGGGACAAGTTGACAAGCTGACCTAAGCTTTGCACTCATCTGCTTCTCGGAGGCGCCTTTTTAACGTAGGGCCCACGATGGCGGCCAACGCCTACGTAAACGCTGTGCTGTGACACGGGGTTCGGTTTGGGGCCCCGATCCGCGGACAGAGGCTCAGTGCCCTTCGCCTGCGCTGCTTGGACCAATTGGAACAACAAAGGAGCTCTCGCAAGGAGATGCGCCCACCCAGGGAGGCAGCGATCGCGGCCGGCTAGGGGGCACCCAGCAAGGGGCACGCGCCCCAAATTCCCCCGCGGCGGGGTGCCCAAAACCATCTGATCGAGGCCGGAGGTGCCCAACACCAACCCCAGGGGCAGCTGATCGAGGCTGGGGGGTGTCCAAAACCACCCTCTGGCCTCTGGAGGAACATAGTGAGAACGCAGTGGGAACATAGGGAAACATAGGGGAACATCAGGACACAGAGTGGGAACATATGGGAACATAGTGGGAACATGTGGGAAACATAATGGGAATGTGATATATGGGAACACAGGGGAACATAGCTGCCGGGGGGTGGTTTTGGGCACCCCTCCGCCTCGATCAACTGTCCCTGGGGGTTGGTTTTGGGTATCTCCCGGCTCGATTAGCCGCCCCGAGGGGTGGTTTTAAGAATCCTCTCGATCAGCTGCCCCGTGGGTGATATTCCCCGCAAAGGCCCCTCCGGGCGCCAGGCAAGGCCGGGAGGCCACGACAGCCTTGGGGTCCCATCCACCGCCAAGACTGCATCACGTAAACTGCCCCGACAGCTCGTCTGGGCACCGCTTCTGCAGTAGATGGTGGGGATGCGCGAAGCGTCAAACATTGTGAATGTTTTCCTGCGTTTGGCGTTGTCCTTCGATCCTTCCCGCTCTGCCTGACATTTGCGGCCGTCTTGGTGGGCTCCCCCGTCCCCCCTGCGCCTTTCCCATCAAATTCCGCACTATTCCCCCAATTCCGTTCCTCGTGATTCGGGGCCCGACTGCGCCCCCAGCACTTCTCCATCCCTGGGGCCGCGGGCTCTGTCTACCGCCGCAACCTGCGCAGCGTAAAGGAACGCTTCGTGATAAAAACTCTGCGCGTGTATGTTGTCTGCGCGCCAAAGTTCGAATCGGGCCTATCATTGCTAGAATATGCGCACAACATATGGTAGACGAGTGAGACTTCCCAAACAGGAGACATCCCAAAGCATGGGCCCAAGATGGCCCACAACTTCCCACAAACCCATCCTGGGGCCAAGCTTTCCGCACCTTCCGAGGCCATCCTTTGGACATGAATTCTGCAGTTTGGGGCCATCCCTGGGCCACCTGCTGAGGCCATTCTGGGGCAACGATGTTCGCACCTTCTGGGGCCATCATGAGGCCATCATTTCGCTGCCTGGGGCCATTCTGGGGCCATGCTTTTCGCACCTTGCAGGGCTATGCTTTCTGGGCTATGCTACTGCAAAAATATCAGGACAAGACATCCCGCATCAGTGCTCAATTTGGCAATTTGAAAATATGGCTACGATTTCGAAAGGAACGGTGCCGTTTGGAGAGGATGGCAATGCTGGACAATCGAATGAGACATGTGCACTCTGCAGATCCTGCTTGTCTTCTTGCTCATCCCATTTCTCCTCACCCGCATCAACCTCATCCGCTTGTCCGTCCTACATTCACGACAAAGCGGCGCAGCTCACTGGTAGGCAACCGCATGTGAACCCTACCCCTGCAGGTCAGATCTCTGGGACAAAACAAGTCTGGGCTTCAGACCTGGATGTATGCAGCCATGTGAGCCCCAACGGGGGTGTCCAATACCCCAGCGTCGTGAGGACCTGTAGGGGTAGGGAAGCAAAGATCAGGTGTTGCTAGAAGTGCCCCTTGCCAAAGGTGCCCCCAGCTTTTCGCTCCGTTTTGGAGGCCCTGGGGCCGCTTTGGGCCTCGTGAGGGGTGGCACTTTGGGACCGGGGCAGTTCTAGCAACACCTGAAAGGGGGAATAATGTCCTCTTCGGAGCTCTCCGCTGGGCTTCCGGCGCCAGTGCGGGCAGCACGAAGCCCCGCGCGTGTGCCTTGGCGCAGGCGCCAGAGAGCTGCTCCTGGGCGATCGGGAAGAAACAGAGAGTAAGACGAAGCCAGGACGAGGATAACATCGAGTGAGGATACATCGAGAATCTCTGAGATCCAGCGGCTCTTGAGGGCGCATCGGGCGCCGCGGCCTTCTCAGCGCGTTCCTGAACGCTCTGGCATTTATTCTTCCTCGTCCCAGCCCCGCCCGAAGAGAGCAACATAGATGGAAAGCACGTGATCTTCAGGTCACAGGCCTTCGCGCGACGGTCTGCGCGAAGCGCGATGCCCGTTTGTCTTCAAACCCCTGTGGCTGGGTGGCGCGCGTTTGCTCGCTTGAACATGAAGCCTGTCCGATTTGCGCAAGCCCATGTTTCCAGGCAAATTGAAGTCAGAACCTGTCACAGAGAGCCCGTTGGCATACTTGCGCATCCGATCGGAACACCGATCGCCAGAATGACGTAAAGAGACGAGGTTGGCATCGCTGAGTTCCCATTGGGAACGCAATCGCATTCATGTTCTCGGCTCTGCTATAGGAGGACGAACAAAGATGAACGCAGGAACGACTGCTGAGGATGAAAGGGAAATCATAAAAATGATATTAAGAATGTGCAGGAAAGGGAGGACATCAACGGCGACGAGAGGATGGCCCAGCCTTGTTTTGGCCCGTCCCTAGAATTGGGAGATCGCGCCTCACTCCAAGGCGCGTGTGCCTGGTTCGAGGGAAGGTGGGGCCCAGAATGCCTCGATGGAGGTGGGCGAGGCCCCTCCACCAATTACGATGGGCGGTCGGATCCGCCTAAACACAACAAAAAAACCCTGTGCGCAATGCGGGGCAGGAGTAGCCTGGGAGATCGAACGAGAAGGCGGCGAGGTGGCATGGACGCATATACTTCTGCGAGCGGCATTCGGAAGGTTCGCAGGTCCCCAATCAAGGGAAAAACGATGAGTATCTAAGTGAACCCTTGAATCACTAAGGAAGGTGGGCTAGGAACGTCGGCGGGGCAGCAACATCATGACATGGCCCCCCAGGGACGGCGAGGTCGCGCTCAGGTCTGCGCAGTGCCTGACCCTGCTGGACCCACCAGCAGCCTTCGAAAGTGGCGAGCCCACCAGCAGCCCTCGAACATGGTGACAGTTTCGCAGATCGCAACCCTCCAGGGACGGGGAGGTCTCGCTCAGATCCGCGCGGTGCCTCACTCCGCTGGGCCCATTAGCAGCCCTCGACAATGGCGACAATTTCGCAGATCGCGGCCCCCCCGAGGGGGAAGTCTCGCTCAGATCCGCGCGGTGCCTCACTCCACTAGACCGACCAGCAGCCCTCGAAAGTGGCGACAATTTCGCAGATCGCAGCCCTCCAAAAACGGGGACGTCTCGCTCAGATCACCGAGGTGTCTCACTCCGCTGGGCCCACCAGCAGCCCTCGAAAGTGGCGACAATTTCGCAGATCGCAAACCTCCAGGGACGGGGAGGTCTCGGCCAGATCCGCGCGGTGCCTCACTCTGCTGGACCCACCAGCAGCCCTCGAAAGTCAGTCAGTCAAAGCCGTGTGTCAGAAGGCACATGAGCAATATGGCACACTTACCGTGCCAAGCAAAATGACCGCACTGCGCGCTTCCAGTCTCGAACTGGGATTGCGCATAAGTGTTCGATTGGAACTTGAAGACTGCCACAAACATCTCTTGCAAGTTTGTACACCTCGGCAGGCCACGTCTGTCGCGGTCGGCCTCTCTTCCGCTTGCCGGAGGGGGGGCGGAGGTCGAGGGAGGAAGGTCTAAAAATAGCTGAACGTAAGGGGTGGTCATCACCCTTACAAGCAATATGGAAAAAAGTATGTGAGTTGCCGCTGCAAGAGAGTACTGCTAAGCTTCATCCTGCGCGCTCGTGCCAGCACGTCCGTATTAGACACTCGGCTGACGTGCGAATGCGGGATCCCGAGGATTCTCCGCAGGCACCTTGCTTGAAAGGCGTCGATGCGGGTCAGCTCGTCCTGCTTCAACCATGTCGTGTGCAAGCTGTACAGTAATTTCGTCTGCGCGCACGCCTCGTATATCTGTATCTTTCTATGCGTCGGGATGCTGCTGCGGTTCCAGACACGGTGTAAAAGTTCGAACTCTGCCCTCGCTTGCCCAAGGCGGCGGCCCAGCTCAGCCTGCGTCGTCCCGTCTGCGGAAAGCACGGACCCGAGGTACACGACGCTTGCCTTCTGGGGAATGACAGCCCCGTCCGGCCTGCGAATAACAGCGTTGCATCCCACGGCCAAGATTTCGAGCTTCCCCCAATTGAGGGTGAGGCCGTAGTTCGCGCCCGCCTTCTCCACTGCTCAGCGTGTCCGGATGCGCTCCCGACGATGAGCGTGTCGCCCGCGTGCACCAACTCGTCCACCAGTCCTGCCAGGTCACCGAGGCTGTTCTTTGCGTCGTGCAGGAGCACCGCCATGACCATCCCGAAGAGGAAAGGCGATAACGGGCATCCCTGGCAAATGCCCGCTCCTTGTTCTCGCGACGCCGAAATCTGCCCGCGCTCTTTCACCGCGAAGCTCCTGGCAGAATAGATGGCGCTCACGGCGGCCAGCGACTCCCGCGGCAGGCCGAACCGGCGCAGCGCTTCGAGGAGAGCATCTGGCATCACGCTGTCGAACGCCTTGGCCCAGTCCAGCGCGAGCAGCACCAGCGGGGGCCCCTGCAACGCGCAGGATTCCTCCAAGAGGCGCCGCGCTAAGAATATGGCATCTGCCGTCCCGCGCCCAGACTTGAAGCCGAACTGAGTCTGCCAGATCCTGGCCTCCGCGCCGGCGCCCTTCAAACGGCGCAGGATGATCATGGCGTACATCTTATATCCGGCTTGCAACAGACAGATAGGCCGGTAGTTTGAACATTGAGACACGCCCCCCTTTTTGAAGATTGCAATTACGAGGGCTTCGTGCCAGGCGTCCGGGACGCAGCCGTCTCTCCAGCACTTCTGACACAGGGCTAGCGCCCATTCCCTCCCCGGCCCCGCGCGCATGCAGATAGCCTTCCACAGTTCCCCGGGGACGCCGTCATGGCCACAAGCCTTGCCCCATCGCATGCGTCGCGCTGCATCGATGATCTCCTCCTCTGTGATGTCGCCGGTCTGGACTTCCAGCTCCGGGCCAATCGGGGCAGGTGCCATCGGCGTCGTAGCGCGTGGGGCCCATTGAACATCGCACAGGTAGTCGGCCATCGCGTCGGCTCTCCTATCTGATTGCACCACTTCGCCGTCCATCCCGCGTAGGCGCCCATGCCGCGCAGGAGCGAAGCCTCTTCTGAGTTTGCGGACCTGGTCCCAGTCGCCCGTCTCAAGCAATTGGTTGAGCCAGATCGACCTGTCGTTCTTCACCGACCGCCTCACCTCCACATGCAGACGATGCTCCTCGTCTGTCCGCCCAGAGCGGCGGGCGTCGGTTCTCTGCTCGATCAGCGAGAGGGAGTGGGGCGAGATCCAAGGCCTCTTCGGCGAGGCCGCGTTCTCCGGAATAGTTGCGGCAGCCGCAGAGCGGAAAGCTGGCCGCATAGTCGCCTCTATTTCGTTCGCCGTCAGGCCCGCGGTCGCCCTCCCCGCCGCCTCTCCGAAGGCCTCTGCGAAAGCAGCCGCCCGTATCGGGCTCCGGAGGGCTCGAAAATCTGGCTGCGGAGTGCGAGTTTTCTTGTCGAGCGGCACTTCTATGTCGAGGTCGGCACAAACCGAGAAATGGTGCGAGGCCAGCGCCCGGCCACGGTCACTGTGCACGTCCGTAAGGTGCTGGGTCCAACCCTGTGATATTAGGGCGAAGTCGATCTGTCCAAAATTGTCTGGGGAAGGGTGGTCGCACGGCCGCTTGCCCACGCTGTAGCACGTGATCTGCTTCTCCGGCGGCTTGTGGAAAATAGTGCTCCCAATAAAATGCTTCTGGTTCACGCGTAGCTCGGCAAGGGGGCTCCGATTGGACGAGGGGTTGTAGATCGCGTCCGGGACTCCGAATATGCAGGGCCCGATAATGTGCTCTTCGCCCGGATACCGGCGATGAAGCCGAGCGCAAGACCAAGGCAGGGCCGCGCCGGGAGCCGCTGTCGATGAAGGAACTTAGGTTAGAGTAAAACTGCCGTCTGTCTTGGAAACTCTTGCCGCTATGGGGGGCGTACGTGGTGTAGATCATGATCTTGCCGCCTTTGACTCGCAGCTTCAGGGACGCCATCCGGGAGTCCTGTTGCCTGAACCCCACGACGGACGTTCGGATGCGCGGCGCGACGATGAAACCGACCCCGGCGTCTCATTATCGTCTGGGTCCGACGTGCCGGAGAGAACGAGGAGAAATCCGGCATCAGTGACGGAGAACTCTGCCCCGGTCTTGTGTGTCTCCTGGATGCACATGACGTCGATGTTCATGGGTGTCATGTGCCATTCAAGTTCTGCTTGCTTGGCCTCGGTGAGGCCCTCAACGTTCCAAGATGCTGTCCGGAGCTTCCAGGTGCACGGCCGCAGGGCGCCGCCTCGGAAGTGCAGTGCTTCGGAAGCCAGGGAGAGAGGAGGGGGGATGATTGCAGTAGTGCCGACTGCTGGTAAACATGCCTGGCAAGAATCGGAAGAGTGAATTCGATCATGGTTAATAGCCGCTGTAGGGCCGACTGCGAACTCGGGTGAAACATCGCTCATGTGCCGTGTTTCCTACTGGGGCCGTTGCCCCTTGGAGCAGCCCTTCGCGCCTCCTTTGAGCCCCTGCGTGGCCCGCGAGAGCAGGTCGTCCGACTTCTTCCTGAGGTCCTTGATCGAGGAGTGGTTGTGGAGCTCGGACCAAGTTGCCCAGTCCCCCTGCCACTCGTTGTCCACGGTGCTGCCGGAGACGTTCACGGTAAGCGCGTGCTCGCCCCCCACCTTGAGCACGTACGGCGCCGCGTTGTTAAACGAGATGGTATACGGGACCTGCCACTCCTCCTTCAGAACCCGCTTCCAGCCCAGGCATAAGTTCCTCGCAGCACGTTCGCTGGCAGCTCGGTCTTCCGTTGCCCAGACCTTCTTGCCTCCGCTGGCGAGGGCCGCACCACGAAGGAGTGCCACCGCCTGGTCCCGCACTGCGGTGTCAGAGAACTCGGCGAAAACGATGCCCTTAAAGTCGCCCTTGACGTACATGTTCGTCGGCGCAGGCCCCTTCAAGGAAGTGAGCTTGCCCTGCAACCAACCGGCGGCCTTCGCAAAGTCCCCGAAGTAATCCAGATTGCCGATCACCATGGTGACCGCCTTCCTGTCGACCAGCGGGACGTTCTTGGTGAGAGGCGCCTGCTGCGAGGCCTGGCTCGCGAAGGCCTGCTGGATGCTCGCCTGGATCTTCTCGTCAATATCCGCGGCACTGGGGGGTGCGTGCATGGCCGCGTACATGCTCTCAAGCTTCTCTATGCGCAGGTCTGCATCGATCAGCTTCGCATCCACGTCGTCCAAGCGGCCCACAAGGGAAGTGCCCAAATCGGTAACTTTGTTGTCGAGCTTCATGAACCGTTTCTTAAGATCTGCCACCACCGAAGTCACGGGGCCCAGCTGCTGCTGAAGGGGAGCAGCGATTCCAGCCATCGTGACAGGCTCATCGTCCTTCTCCGAGGAGGCCGCGGCAGCGCCGAAATCCGGCTGGCGAAATGGTAGAGCGTCCCTCTCGGCTGGGCCGTCCATGTCGCCTCCAGGCATCTGCACGTACCCCTGATCCTCCGCGCGCATCTCGCCGAGGAGCGGGGTCGCTGGGGAGTCAGGGCCATGTCCAGAGCGCTGCTGTTTGGCCATGTTCTCCCAGGGGTCCTGGACGAGGTGCCCAACCGGGGTGCCTGGAGCGCGGGTGGAGCCATGGGCTGCTGGCGACGTCGGTGCTGCACTCGCCATGGCAAAAGCTAGCTGGAAGATTGACTATGGAGAGAGCTTGAGTATGGAGAAAGCTTGAGTACGGGCGAGAACGGCGTTAAAACTGTTAAGCCGCAACTTGAGCCAAAAAACGCCTTCAGCCCTCGAAAGTGGCGACAAATTCGCAGATCGCAGCCCCCTAGGGACTCGCTCAGATCCGCGCGGTGCCTCACCCCGCTGGCGACAATCTCGCGAATCGCAACCCTCTAAAGACGGGGAGTTCTCGCTCGGATCCGCGAGGTGCCTCACTCCGCTGGACCCATCAGCAGCCCTCGGTGGTGTCAATTTCGCAGATCGCAGCCCTCCAGGGGCGGGGAGGTCTCGTTCATATCCGCGCGGTGCCTCACTCCGCTGGGCCCACCAACAACCCTCGAAAGTGGCGACAGGTCGGCAGATCGCAGCACACAAGGGTCGGGGAGGTCTCGCTCAGATCCGCGCGGTGCTTACTCCGCTGGACCCACCAGCAGCCCTCAAAAGTGGTGACAATTTCGCAGATTGCAGCCCTCCAGGGACGGGGAGGTCTCGCTCAGATCCGCGCGGTGCCTCACTCCGCTGGACCCACCAGCAGCCCTCGAAAGTGGCGACAAATTCGCAGATCGCAGCCCCCCCAAGCAAGGCACAAGGAGACAAAAAGGATGGGGGGCTGGAGTTGAGAGGCAGGAGGCGGGAGACGCGACGGCGGTGCTCTGTTCAAAACGAATACCCAATCAAGGAAGGTTGGGAACTAACGCAAGGACACCTAGTCAACGGGGGGACTGAATATGAATATCCAGGCTAATCCTGGCCAACATGTGGCGGGCTGAACGTCACCGCGGCGCAAAGGCCGCGATGCTTAAAAACAGGTGGTTTGCGCACAAGCTGGGGAAAGCGGTGGCCCTGACGATGACCATAAAAGTCAGATACCACCTGGGAGCCTGGGCGTTTTCTCGAACAGTGTGGACTGGTCGAAGGTAAAGCCGGAGATCCGCTTCCTGCGCAATAAGCCAGCGTGGACCCCAAACAGCAGGCTTGTTCAGTCTACGTGGTGCAATGTATGTGATGTAGGCTATGTGGTGCTGTGAGGTGCAATTAATTTCTGTTCGCAATGAATTGTCCACTCCACTGCTCGCGCAAACATCCCACCCACCCACCCGGAACTTGGTTTGCAAAATCTCTTAAGACCGTGACGGTGGGTACCAAATGGCACTTGGCAACGACAGCGACGCCGACGACGACAGCGACAACGACGATGACGACGACGCCGACAACGAGTACGACGACACCGACGACGTCTCCAACGACTTCGACGACGCCGACAACGACGACGACGTGACGACGACGACGACGACGACGACGAACGACGACGACGACGACGACGACGACGACGACGACGACGACGACGACGACGTCGACGACGACGACGACAGACGACACGACGACGACGACGGACGACGACGACGAGACGACGACGACGCGACAACGACGACAACGGTGAGGGAGGAGGGAGGACGGCGACGACGCGAACGACGAAGAAGGAGGAAGGACGGCGACGCCGACGACGGCAACGACGAGGGAGGAGGGAAGACGACGACGACGACACCGACGACGACGACAACGACGACGGCGACGAAATAGAAGGGACGACGACGAGACGCCGACGACGGACGACGACGACGACGAGGGAGGAGGAGGAAGGACGACCACGGCGACAACGACGACGGAAACGACCACGACGCCAAAGAGGACGACGACGACGAACACGAGGAAAGACACAGGACGACGTAAGCGACGACGACGACAACGACGCGGGAGGAGAGAGGACGGCGACGACGACGACGACGACGCAAGAGCGCGCGCGCACGCTTTTGTTAAAAATCCGTGTTGCGAAAGCTTGTGTTTTGTATGTTTTTTGGACACACGAGTTTGAAATCCTTCCGGAACCGATGGGTTTGGAAAGTTTTCAGCTTACGCGTGCGACGACGCGCGTGTCTGCACTTCGTCCTTGTTTCTGCAGGGGATTCTCGCGACGGCAGACGCGCAAGGGCGTTCGACAAATTTCGACATGAGCGCGCGCGAAGCCCGTTTGGTAGCATGTTGTGAAAATATCGAAAAACCTATGGTGTTCTTAAGATTTTGCAAGAGCTTTCGCGGAAGCTTGTTTAGCAACTCTGTGTTGCGAAACCCTGTGTTTTTGTATGTGTTTTGGGAACTCGATTGCGAAATCCCTCCCGCACCGAAGGTTTTTGAAGGATTTTGGCATGCGCGCGCGACGACGCGCGCGTGCGCACTTCGTCTCATTTTTCGCAAGGGATTAGTGAAAAGGTGTTATGTTAGAACAAAAAATGTCACCGCCAAATGTTTTTTCTTTTGCAAAAAACAAGGGGGTTTCAGGGGGGGAACCCAGCCTGCCTGGCATGGTATGATTTCATCTTTAGGATGGACGAATGTGCAGAATATATATATATATATATATATATATATATATATTTATAGCCATATATATATATGTATATATATGTACACATACATACACACACATACATACATACATATACATATATATACATATGTATACAGCTATATATATATATAGATATATGAAATTATACTACCCCATGGGGAACAGATAAGTCCGGGGGGATCGAGTCTATTCTCTTTTTAGAAAAGAAAATGCATGTGGTGTAAGCTGCGCGATGTAAGCCATGTGGTGCAACATGTGGTAGAAGCTAAAGCACCCATCGATGTGTGCAATATATGTGGTGTGACCTTTGTTTCACAGTTTGCTTCGCATTTGTCCGAAGAGTCTGTTTCGCACTGGCCACACACCCCACCTCAAACGATGGAGGGCGCACGTTTCATAGGCTCTCGCGGGGGCCGCTCAAGTCAGCCCCTACTGGGCCAGCACGAGCAGCGGCTATCTACAACCACTACTTTGAGTGCCAGGCAAAGCGCAGCGTTCATACTATAACCCTGGTAATCATACACGAGCCAGGCCCTGCGACCCCGCTCACCGCCACGTTGCTCTCCTAGCTCTCGCCGCGCCTCCGCCGCCTCAGTCGAGCGGCTGGCGCGTCGCGGGGTGGAGCCCTGCCGGAATAATGGCCGCCCTCTGCTTGCGCTTCTTGTCGATGGCCGTCGGCTTCTCTGACCGCGCTGGACAGGCCCGCCCGAGCCCGCCCGTCCTCCTCCTGCCGTAGGCGCCGCAGGTCACGCGCACGATGTAGCCGCGCGCCTGCCTTGCGGCACGGAGCTTGTCCTCCGCGCGGTCCGCCTTCGCGATCATGGCTGAGCAAGCTGGCGCCCTCTGCCTGCCGCCTCCTGCCCCTGCGGCTGCACTGCTCACCCCGGCGCGCGTCTGGGGGGATCTCCTGGCACGGTTCCGATGGCGACGCCTGGATGGGGCCACCCTTCAGCTCGCAGCCCCACCCCTCGGGCCGCCCCGCCGGCGTTGGCCTGCCGTCCTCGGCCGCCCCCTCACCTTGGACCCGCCGCTGTCTGACGCGCCCTCGCCTTGGCGCCCCCGCCGCAGTGGCCTCAGGCACGGCCGCAGCTGGCCTCTTGAGATCCTGCCTCTCCGGGCGTCGGCGCTGGGGCCGCGCTGCCGGGGATCCGCCCCCCCCCCACCCGCCCTGCCCATCGGCCCGCGCGCTGGCCGAAGCCGAGGCGGTGGCTGTCATTGCCAAGACCATCCCAGCTGCGAGCTCCGCGAGCGTGCTGGCTGGGCCGGCGTCGGGGGGGCATCCCTCGAAGTGGGCGATGGCGTCGGCCTCCCCAGGCCCCGCCCTGCGCCTGCCCTGGCTGCTGCTGTCCGAGGCCCATCGGTCCCCCATGGGGCTCTCGCTGGATGGAGCAGTGCTGCTCAACCCAGGGCCCGCCCAGACGGACTGGTTCCTGCTCTGCCTCCGGGGCTTCGCCGCCCCCCCCCCCCGCCGCGCCCCTCCTCGTCCTCATCTTCGCCCGCCGCAGCATCCCCAGCCTCATCCTCAGCTCCATCCTCATCAGCATCCTTGCCCGCCGCCGCACCCTCCGCCGCCTCGCCATCCTCGCCGTCTGCTGCTGCTGGCGTCTTGCCAGCTGATGCTGGTTTCTTAGCAGCTGGTCGTTTGCACACTCTGTTGCCGCCCTCCAGCCACTCGCGTTTGAGCTCCTCCATCTCTAGTTTGTCAACCTCGCCACTCACGTACTTGGTGATCAGCTCGACCAGCCACGCCTCTGCGACATTCTCGTCCTTATAGCCTGATAGTTGCATCGGCTGGCCATTGTGCTGGGCCTGAAGCCACCTGTTGCCCTTCTTGTTTACGTGCGCAATCTTCACCCGCTCACCAGACATCTTCACGGTGCCGCCCCAAACGTGCGCGCTCGTCTTGCCCGGCGCAGAACCCGAGGCCAATGATGAGCTCACCGTGTCGGGCACCTATCCAGATCAAACAGCATCGATCGATCCCGTCGTGGACAGATCACCCTATGGATCATCGACGGGATCATCTAGATGATCATGCGATGATCCGAACGTTGTGGCCATCGTTTCGACGATACCCCAACGCACCGATCATCGCGGGACCATCGCGATGAGCCAATCGATGATCCCGTCTATGACCTGTCTCAACGCTGGCGATCGACGGTGCTATTTCATCGCCATGTCACCTCCCGCGCATAGCCATCGGCCCAGGTTGCCAGCAACGGTGCGTCGCCCTCCTGCGCCTGCGCGACCACCCGCTCCACCTCGGCCGAGTCGGGCTTCGCGCGCCAGGCAGGCTGGGGGGCCGATAGATTACCAGCGCCCGCCGTCCGATCCCCCCCTGCCCCCTCCGATCTCACTTCGCTTACGTGCCCACGTTTCTTCGCCATGCCCCCCCTCCCACGGCCCCTAATCCAAGGGCTCGTGGGAGGGGGGGGCGAAGACGCTGGGAGCTGAGGGGTCGGGAGGGCATGTGAGTGGAGTGGAGTGCGATGGGAATGGCGGTGAGCTGAGGGGACTGGGTGGGAGCGGGGTGAGGACGAAGGGCAATGGGATGGTTGTGGGAGAAGAAGGGCTGGTAACGCAATATATTCAAACCCAAGTCTGTCCTGCATGTCGGCCTGCCATCCGATATCGTAGCCGTCAATGTTGACCATCGGGATCATGCCGCGCGAGGGTGGTCTCTTTTTCAAAAAGCGTTTTGTCGGAGATGGATGCGCAACTGCCTGCGCGCCGCCACCGTCGCCACCCTGGTCGTCAGAGAAGCCGCGAGCCCACTCGGGGGCGCGTTTCCTTCGGCGGGGGAAGGGGGGGGGGGGGGGGGGAGACCAGGATGCAGATGAGGAGAGATAGGGTGCCGCGCGGAGGGGCTTCGGGATTGCCGACGGCGGCTCGGGCGCGGCATCTCATCGCCAGCTGTTATTGCTTCCGAGCCACGGCCGGCCATCCCGATCCTCCCCAGCGCGGCACCTTACCCCATCTAGAGGCGGACTTGAGTATCGCAGGGGAAATGGCGAGAATGACTGCATGAGGATGAGGGGAAGAGCACAGGGCCCTGGACCCGATCTTTGCAACGTGCCTGAGCATCGCCCTCAACATGCGAGCCTGGTCGCGCGCCCATGCCTGCGCTTGCGCAGAGAGGTGCCGATCCGATTTCTCCGCCGATGCTACGTTCATGAACGCTGCCTGGGGCGCCGACATTTGCGAACGATCATCGTTTGATCACCGCGGTGATCAAACGATGATCCGATAGACAAGTCGATGTTCCGAGATGCGCCCAGCCGCGTCGACGAGGGGGGGGGGGGGGGGGGGGGGGGCAGAAAAGGAGGAGGATCAGGAGGTGGAGGAGGGGGGGAGGAGGAGGCGGGGGGGGGGGGGGGGAGGGAGAGCGGTGGCATCTAGGATGAGGAATGTTGCGCCCCTCGGCCTCTGCCACGCTCTGAGAGACCCCGCCCTGCGGCGCGGCCGCGCGCGTCTCCCGAATGAGCGCGACGTGCTTCTTGAGCACCTCCTCATCGGGCCCAGTCTCGAGCTGCATCGTGTGCTCGAGCCTTAACGGGCGCCCTCATGTTTCCACTACTGTTTGTATCAGATTCCCCCTCATCCTCCTCCGCCTTCCCCCCCCTTCCCCCCCCGCCCCTCCTCCTCCTCCCTCCTCCTCCTCCTCCTCCTCATCATCATCATCATCATCTCCTCCCCCTCCTCCGCGTCCCCCTCCTCCTCATCCCCCCCCCCCCCCCCCCCCCCCCCCCCTCCTCATTCCCCCCCCCCCCCCCCCCCCCCCCCCCTCCTCATCCTCATCCTCCCCCCCCCCCTCCTCTCTTCCTCCTCCTCTTCCTCCTCCTCGCCCTAATCATCATCATCATCATCATATCATCATCATCATCATTCCGCGTCGTCCTCCTCGTCATCCGCCTCATCATCATCATCCTCCTCCCCCCCTTCTACCACTTTGCCTCCGTCACTCCCCCATTCCCTCTGTTCCTCATCCTCACCTCCTTTCCCCCCTCTGATCCTCCGCTTGCCCCCCCCCCCCCCCCCCTGGAACGTGTCCGCGGCCGCTTTGCGAGGGCCCCATATCGCGGTCAGGCCATCGGCGCCCCTCGCGCCTTTTAAGTCTGACGGGCCGCTTCGGCGCCAAGATCCCCTGAACAATAACTGCTGTTCCCTCCGCCATCTCTCTCTCTCTCTCTCTCTCTCTCTCTCTCTCTACGCACGCATGCGCACACACATATATATATATATATATACATATTTCTTGCAGGGGGTGGGCCAGCACTCGTGAAACGCACCCCCGCGTGGCGCGGGCCCCCCTGCATTCCGAACCGTTCCATCCATTTCTAACCCATCATATTCCCCCCTCCTCTCCTCCTTTCCGTTTTCTCCATCTCGTTATCCTGTTTCTCGATTCCCTCCTCCTTTCCTCCCCCATCTGTTTTCTCCCGTTCATCGCATTGTCTCTGAGCAGAGCAGTACCTGCGAGCACTTCCAACTGTGAACACGTTGTTGTTGGTGCTTGCGTGCCGCATATTTCTTGTCTTCTATATTTCCTTACCCCACATATATATAGTATCATTTTCGCTAACAAACGAGATGTGGGGCGGTGTTTCGTTGCGCGCATTGTCGCGGGGCGGTCGATCATCCCACGTGAAGATGTGGGGCGGTTTATCGTCCCAAATGATGGTTTTGTCATCATCTATCATCAACATGCTTTGTGGGGCGGTTTTATCGCCCCAGCGGGCCTCTGGGCAGGGCTTCCAGCGCGGGGGCGAGGTCACGCGCGAGGTGGCCGCCAAGCCGCGCCGCGGCTGAGCCGTGGCGCCACTGGCCAGAGGCCTGGCGAGCGAGTGAGACGGGGAGGGGCCGCAAGACGGCCGAGCAGCGGCGCCGCCGGCCAAGGGCCTGGCGAGCGGTGAAGGGATGAAGTGCTCCGCCGCCGGCCGCGGCCTGGCGCGCGGGGCCACGCCGGCGCGCGGCGCCAGGCGCGACATTCGGGCGCCCGCGGGCAGCTGTGCGCCTGCGGGCTGCGAGGCGCTGGCGGTGGCGGCTGGGCACCCGCGGGGCAGCCGGGCCGCGCTGTGGCCCCTGGGCGGCCGGGCGCCCGCGGGCAGCGGCGCGCGCGCGGGCCGCGACGCGCGGGGGCGGCGGCGGCCGGGCGCCCGTGGGCAGCTGGAGCCACGCTGGGGCCCCTGTGCGGCCGGGCCCGTGGGTTTCCCCACGGCCAGCCTGGCGCTGAATTCGCAGCTGCAGCGCCGCCGATGCTGACGATGAGCGCGAATGCGCGAAGAGGGCAGGGCGGGCGCGAGGGCCGCGCGGGGCGCACCCCCAAAAAAAGCGCACCATATAAGGCGCCGGGAAAGACAGCGCAGGAAACAAGGCGGGAGAAACACACACACACACACACACACACACACACACACACACACACACACACACACACACACACACACACACACACAACCACACACACACACACACACGCGCACACACACACACACACACACACACACACACGCACACGCACACGCACACGCACACGCACACACACGCACGCACGCACGCACGCACGCACGCGCACGCGCACGCACGCACGTACGCACGCGCACGCGCACGCGCACGCGCACGCGCACGCGCACGCGCACACACACGCACACACACACACACACGCACACACACCCACGCACACACACACACACACACACACACAGAGACAACAACCATCTGCGCGGAGGGCCAAGCGGGAAACTGAGCAAGAGATCGCGCGGGGGGCCAAACGGGGAACCGCGCGGGGAACCGCGCGGGAAACCACGCCCGATACCACTCGGGAAACCATCCGAGACCGCGCGGGAGGCCGCGCGGGAAGCTGCGCGGCAGACCGCCCGGGACACCGCGCGGAGACCACGCGCAAAAGACGCCACCCTAGGAAACCATGTAGTTGCCGGGGGGTCGGGGGGCGCCGCTCGTCGGATTGGCGCGCGCCTGCGGCGCGGGCCAGCGACGCGCCTGTCGCCCGCCGCGCCCCGCGGGAGCTCGCGCGCGCAGCGGCGGCCCGCGATCGCCCCCCGCGCCCGAGGGCGGACGTGGGCGAGGGCGAGAACGCCGCCGCCGCAGCGACGGCGCGGGCGCCTCGCCTGGCGCGCTGGCCCCGCGTCTGGGCCGGCCGCGCCGATGCGCCGCGCGTCGCGCGCGGCATTTATTCGCGCTCATCGCTCCTCGCCGCCTCCGACGCGCAGCGGCGCTCTCGCGGCGCGACATCGCGCATCGGCGTGCTTCTGCCGCGCGAGAGCGGTCCAGGGGCGCCCCCGCCGCGAAGAATTGAGCCGCGCGCAGTCGCGGCGCTGACGGCGCTCTCGCAACCGCGGCGGGCACCTCGCGAGCGCGCCGAGGTGCCGCACCGCGCTGCTCCCTCTGCGCCCGCATTGCCCTGCCACGCCGCCAGTCGGCGATTCGACTGCTGCCCGGCGAGGGCCTCTAACCCCGAGCAATTGCGAGCAACTCCAGCGCCGTGATCCGAAAACCCACGCGCGGCGCTGGGCCCCAGCCCGTCGCCAAAAGGAGACTCGGACAAATGGGCGCGACCGTCAACTCGCGGCGCAGCGGCGAGCCGCGGCTCGGGCCCGCCCGCTTCATCGGCTGACAAATGCTTCCTGCCAGTCAAGCTGCGCCCGCGGCGCGGCCCGATGGGCGCCGAGGCCCGGCGCCCATGCCCGCCGGGCCGGCGCCAGATTCAGCGGCGCGCGACAGACGCCTCGTCGCGAATTCTGCTCGCCCGAACATCTCAAACTGGGATTGCCCCGCCCAGTTCAGCGCCGGCCAATTTGCCGGCTTGTCCAGGGCGCGATATCTCGCCGTAGAGCGCCTGTTTTTGCGGCACTTGGGCCGAGCACTCAGGTTCAAATCTCGAA